CAATGATTAGTTTCGAAAGAGGTACAATAGTTAGGAGAGAGAAAAGTTATGTGTATGGTGTGTAAAGATAGATCAAGAGGTCTAGAGATGCTCCTTTCAATGGAATAGGCATGAAGCCCTTAGGTGAGACAGTGACGTGAGGACAAAAGTACTAGCTTCTCGGAGAAGATAGTTACAAAAGGTAAGTATAATTAAAGGGTGCATTGATCTTCGAGAGTGAGTATCCCAATAATTGCTCCCCACGTGCTCTAATATTTCTGAACTCCTTGAACTCTAGACTGGGCCGAATCCATAAATTGGGTCTGACCTGCCTTGTAACTAATTTGGGTTAATTTGATTTATTGAGCTTGACCCGATTAAATTTGGTCTCATCAGTACTTTTGAACTAAAAAGTTATGTGAATGTACCTATGATTCCTATCTACTACATTCTGTCGCCATCGCCCCCTCCCCCTCTGTCTTTTCCTCGTATTGTGCACATATTATTTTATTCTTAATAGTCACTAAAAAATGTATTTTATTTTTTTAATTAATTTAATTTCTTATTCTTATTAATATTACGTGATCTAACCAAATTTTTTTTCTTGTGAAGGCTATCCTAATATCCGATTTGAAAGGCGAAAAAATCTAGCATACAATCTCTTAATCAAGTTCTACTATTCTATTATTATTGATCTTTGCAATATAGTAGCTTTTAATTTTGAGTACTTTTAATTTTTTTTAGATTTTATTTTGTTAAAAAAGATTATCTAATCTTGAATATGTCAACTAGAAGATATGACTCAGGAGGTGAGAAAACAAAAAAAGATGAATTCATTCAATCCCAAAAAGGTGTCTTTGATAATTTTATTAATAAAAAATACGTGACAACTTCAAGTTCCATAAAATTTTGACAAATAAAGAAGATGAGACTCGCAAGACGATTAGGGATTTTTTTCCTCGTAAATATTTATGATTTGGAGCAATGGATGAAGTTGATACACACACTTAGTATATTCAAAAAAGTTTGATAAACTGTAATATTTTTGTAAAAAGTAGTTTAGTTCTAAATCTAAAATAAATCAACTATTTAATGAGGGAACTAAAGATTAGAGAAATCTCATTACTAAACTTAAAACTCATGAACATATTACCAATATGAAAAGTTGGGCTGATTTAGAACTAAGGTTGTTAACAAATAAAACAATAGATAAAAATGTTCAAGAACAAATTAACAAAGAAAAAGAATAGTAGAAAAATGTGTTAGCTAGACTTATCACTCTTGTTAAGAATCTTTCTAAAAATAACCTAGCATTTCGTTGAATAAATAAAAAGATTTAACAAAAAAAATAGTAGAAACATTTAAAGCTTAATTAAAACAATAGTAGAATTTGATCCAATAATAATAGAACATATTTGACGCATTCACCATGGAGAAATTTAAAATCGTTATCTTGGTCATAATATACAAAATGAACTAACACAGATGTTATCATTTGAAATTAAAAGTATAATTAATTAAAATTTAAAATATTTTTCAGTTATACTTGATTGTTCTTCTGATATAAGTCATCAAGAATAAATGATGTATATATCACAATGTGTGGATGTTTCAATAACCTTAATACAGATAGAAGAATACTTTTTAAGGGTTGTAGGGGTAGAAAATACTTCAGAAATTTTTTATTTTTTTAATGAACATATAAATGTAATATATTTAGTCTTGAACTTGATATTTAAATATAATATGACAAGGATATGATAATGAACATGATGTGAAAGAAAAACAAAAAGGTGTACAGAAGGCTATTAGATGTAGACTTTAGAGCATTTTCAACATCATGTGGTTGTCACAATCTTAACTTAGTATATTACGATATGGTTAACTCTGGTTCTAAAGATATGTTTTTTTTTGGAATTGTAAAATGTATCTATACTTTATTTTCTTTATCAACAAAATGACGAAAAATTTTACTTGATCATGACTAATATAACTGTCAAATCATTGCCACAAACACGCTGGAAAAGTCGAATTGAAAGTGCTAAGGCCATAAGATTCCAAGCCCCACAAATAAGAGATGTCTTACTCCAATTAGCAAAACTTAATGATGATACCAAAGCATGTAGTGAAGCTAAATGCTTAACAACATATGAAATTGAAAATTTTTAGTTCTTATTAGGTACTAGTAATTGCCCGTGCCTGAAGGCACGGCGTAGCAAAAAATTAAATTAAAACTCAAAGAATACTACATTACCTAAATACTATTTACAACCTAAAACAATCTGTCAATTTAAAATCAAGGTAGTTCATACTATTATTCAAAAATTTCGGCAAAATTTTCTCTAAATATAGGAACCCATAAAAATTTTAAACTATCTACAGAATTTACAATCATACATAACAATTATTATAATTCACTATACCACCACAATAATAATCAATACATACCCATCATTAACATATATCCAACCACCAAAACATCAAGCTAATTCCTACTAATTTCAAGAAATTTCGGCAAAATTTCCTCTAAAAATAGAAGCCCAAAAAAATCTGAACCTATATACAAAACTTACAACCATCAATACATACCCAACCACCATATCACCACAATCATCATAATATATCATATCACCACAAGCATCAATACACATCCAACCACCAAAATTACCATCATTTTATACCAAAAATCATCATAACCATGTACAATTAGTTCACTCTAAAAAAGACGGAACACAAAAAATACATATATGCACAAATAAAGAAACACCTTCAACTTCATATTGACATCCTTCCATGTATACTTGAAAATATTTGAAATATAAAAATTATCAAAATATTTGAGGCAAAATAAAACAATTGTAAATCCGAAACATAAAACCCCTTAATTTTAGAAAGTAAATAAATCAGCATGTTCTAAGCATTGGCATAATGATACATTATTAAAATGACATTTCGTCAGCTTTGTTTGTATCGAATGCCAAAATTCTCGCCACACGAACTACATCGCTTTGATTTCATGTTTAAGGGCATCCAATCCAAAATCATTGGGCCATGATGGGAGAGACTCATCAGAAACATAAGTTAGTGTTACTGCAGTGAAATATGAGGGAACAACCACAAGAGTAGAATTTCCCAAGGGCCATTGATGGGTAGATGCACTACTAATATACTAAAGTACAGTGAATTAAATGATACGTTGAGAATAATATAGCTAAACGCATGCTGTTTACAAACTACAGATGAATATTCTGCTATGTATCACATTCAGTGGCTAGGCAGTTAGCCACAGTTGTAGACCTCATGGTTGTCTACACTCAAAGATCTTTNATTTTAGAAAATAAATTTTTTACAAGAGAGACTTTGTAGTAGAAGATTCATCTAAAAGAAAGGAGATAGAGATTATATATTGATGATCCATCATATATGAAGCAAACATTTATTTGTAAAAAAATTACCATTTTCCGTGATGTAGATAATTGGATTATTGTATTTTCTCTTTACATACACGAGAAGATCCCTTATGCCTCTTGGATAAACATGGAGCCATACTGAACCAGCCTGAGACATCAATAAAGTACGTTAGGCTGACTAAGAATATGGTCATTCTAAATTCTAAGATTGGTTGTCAAGAGATAATTATAAGAAAATTTTATATCTATTCATAGTATACCTGAGCACCAATAAGTTGTCCATCTCTCTCAACTGCCATAAGAAAATAATGTCTTTAGCATATAATTTGTTTTTTTTTTTTTAACTTTTGCACGTCACAGTAAATTTGGGGGGTTTAATGGTAGACTTACATGTAAGAATTGCATGACTATCTGTGCTGTAACTTAAGTTAACAGTATTTGGACTAGGGTTATTGGCTACATAAGTAGAAGTGTAGTAGTTCAAGCCAATAAAATCGCATGACCCCTTTAGCATTTTTGATTCTATTGTTGAGAACTTTGGCAGGCGTTTTCCAACAATTGATCGCATGTTACGTGGATAGTCACCACTTGTTAATGGTTCCAAATACCTACATTTCACATGTAATTAGAGTTAAACTAAGACAAACTCATTTTGTTATATATCTATACAAGTCTTATTCAATATATGTNGGAGACAGAGAGTAGCTGTGTAGGGGAATGGGTTTGATTTGAGTAACTGTAGGCGTGTGGATAAAAATGGGCGGGATTTTTTTTTTGGGTTGAGATGCATTGCAAGCCATTGGATTGAAATGGAAGAAATGAGATGAAAATGTGGGCCTTTGAATTAAAAGTGGATTTAATCTGAGCCGTTCTTATGCTTTTCCAAATAAATTAAATTTTAAAGTAGAAAAAAATTCAAAATGAGTCCTATCTTATTAGTAAAGATGACTATTTAATATGATATATTATTCGCGGTTAACTCTATTAGTAAAAATTTACAATACAAAGGTATGCATATTGATGTTGCTAACTCATGTACTGAAGGAGTAATGTGGGGATAGAATGGATAATACAAAAGGGTTAATATCATTTTTGATCTCTAAAATATGCATTTTTTATCGGTTTAGTCTTTATTGTATCAACTTTATCAATTTAGCTCATAGAGTATTCAATTCGTGTCATTTTTGTTACTAATTAAATAATCTGTCAAGTTTTTTGATAGAAGTGACCACATTTCATTTTTTAAGACGGTATGACGTGCTAATTACATAATTCTTCCGTAAAAAACTTAATTGTCTGTCAATGCAGGGATCAAAATGACACGAATTAAATATTTTAAGAACTAAATTGACAAAATTAATATAATGAGAACTAAACTTACAAAAAATTCATATTTTAAGAACAATAAAACTCAATGCAGTCAAAGGCCACACACAGTAAATCTTATACGGTAGCCTCTAAAAAACATTGTTAACAAACTAAAAATGACATCACATTCTAGATTATGGCCGAAAAGACACCTGTCTAAAAAACATGAGGTAAACATTCATTAGGAACGACAAATGTGGTAGAAGACTTGGAGCAGAATGATTTCTCATCTATTATTTGTGATTATTTCTTGAGGAAAACTTTGACCCATTCTGCGGAGTGTTTTGGATATCTCTTCTGCCCATTTTGATAATCAACAAAGGTTAATCCAAAACGAACATTGTAACCAGTGGCCCATTCAAAATTGTCCAACATTGACCATGCAAAGTATGCCATCACATTGACACCTTCCCTAAATAAAAGGAAACAAAAAACAGAATAGAAGGGCCAATTAGAGCTATCAATCATAAACTTATAGGAGAAGGAATTGTCGAATTCGATAACATTTGACTTGGCCTTAACTTTTCGACAATTTACTAACCAAATCAACTATTGTCATTGAATTAGCAATAGAAGTCATCTATTTAGTATTGGAATCCACTATTAATCCAACTACAACAAGGGATCTGCCTAACACATTTTATCGATAAATATGTTAAAAATATCATTAGCAAAATAAACTAGACTCAACGTGACATCATCTCAAATTAATATAAAATAGATAGCCGGCGATTAAAAACTTACTCGATAGCTATTCGAACATAAGTCAGATGTTGATAAAAGAATCGTATCCTGAAGTTATCCGTGATGGATTCCTTAAGCGATAATGTTGCATTGTTGAGCTCATCAATCCCTACGAATTAGCAATGGAGTTTAGGGAAAACAATGTATATAATTATTCGATGTCCTAATCAAATGAAATTTGAAGTTTTTGAATGAAATATAGTCTTTGTTTAAAGAATGTCTTAGCAAATGACTGTTTTCATAGGAGTGACTCAGTAATAGAACACTCGCCTAAAAGAAAGGAGACAAAGGTTGTAAAAGGCAATCTCTTGCAAACAAAGCAAACTCTTTGGAGGAATCTCCGTTTCAAAATTATTTTAGAAAATAAATTTTTTACAAGAGAGACTTTGTAGTAGAAGATTCATCTAAAAGAAAGGAGATAGAGATTATATATTGATGATCCATCATATATGAAGCAAACATTTATTTGTAAAAAAAATTACCATTTTCCGTGATGTAGATAATTGGATTATTGTATTTTCTCTTTACATACACGAGAAGATCCCTTATGCCTCTTGGATAAACATGGAGCCATACTGAACCAGCCTGAGACATCAATAAAGTACATTAGGCTGACTAAGAATATGGTCATTCTAAATTCTAAGATTGGTTGTCAAGAGATAATTATAAGAAAATTTTATATCTATTCATAGTATACCTGAGCACCAATAAGTTGTCCATCTCTCTCAACTGCCATAAGAAAATAATGTCTTTAGCATATAATTTGTTTTTTTTTTTTTAACTTTTGCACGTCACAGTAAATTTGGGGGGTTTAATGGTAGACTTACATGTAAGAATTGCATGACTATCTGTGCTGTAACTTAAGTTAACAGTATTTGGACTAGGGTTATTGGCTACATAAGTAGAAGTGTAGTAGTTCAAGCCAATAAAATCGCATGACCCCTTTAGCATTTTTGATTCTATTGTTGAGAACTTTGGCAGGCGTTTTCCAACAATTGATCGCATGTTACGTGGATAGTCACCACTTGTTAATGGTTCCAAATACCTACATTTCACATGTGATTAGAGTTAAACTAAGACAAACTCATTTTGTTATATATCTATACAAGTCTTATTCAATATATGTGTGTATAAAATTTCTATCGGTCCACAATGGCTAAGTTACAAATAGTAAATGATTTAGTTTTTGTATGTTTTTCGATGTTGTGTGACCCTTCAATTAGTGAAGCAACAAAAAATACTAACCATCCAAGTGCGAAGTCCAGTGACCGACGTGCAGCACGGTAGTCGGCTGTCGAATTAGAGTATGGCACGTACCAATAACTTGATAGTGTAACTCCAATATTACCTTTTTGCAATTTCTGCACAAATTCTATGTTCAATAATGGCAAGCATACTATCATCCTTAATAGTTATAGATCTGTTGGATTTTAAACCTGGTATTTCTCCCTATACAATTTCACGGCTAAAGCATGCGCAAGAAGTTGGTTGTGTTCACCAATATATGGTTCGGTGCTTGAGTCCCCACCTGTGCAATTTGGGTTTCTCCAAGGGGAACATCGACCTGGTGCAAAAGTACCATAATCGTACCCAAATTTGTTGAAGCTCGATGGTTCGTTGAATGTGATCCAATGTTTCACCCGATCGCCAAATCTCTTATAGCAAAGCTCCGCGTAATCGCGGAAATCATAGCTGTGATTGGAACATCAGTAATTATGGGAAAGATGAGATTTAGCTAATACTCTAACACATGATTTCATTATATAATAACTTCTTGGTGGATAGAAGTAAAGTCTCTCTGCCCTTGTGGAATTCATATAAGAGTTTAAATATGACTTTTCAAGTTTCAAGCACAAGTTTAACTACATAGATCTTTCAAATTTTGATAAATCTTGACTATCCGGTTTTACCCTACTATACTAACTTTTAAAGAAGACTTGCATCAATCNAAAAAACATGAGGTAAACATTCATTAGGAACGACAAATGTGGTAGAAGACTTGGAGCAGAATGATTTCTCATCTATTATTTGTGATTATTTCTTGAGGAAAACTTTGACCCATTCTGCGGAGTGTTTTGGATATCTCTTCTGCCCATTTTGATAATCAACAAAGGTTAATCCAAAACGAACATTGTAACCAGTGGCCCATTCAAAATTGTCCAACATTGACCATGCAAAGTATGCCATCACATTGACACCTTCCCTAAATAAAAGGAAACAAAAAACAGAATAGAAGGGCCAATTAGAGCTATCAATCATAAACTTATAGGAGAAGGAATTGTCGAATTCGATAACATTTGACTTGGCCTTAACTTTTCGACAATTTACTAACCAAATCAACTATTGTCATTGAATTAGCAATAGAAGTCATCTATTTAGTATTGGAATCCACTATTAATCCAACTACAACAAGGGATCTGCCTAACACATTTTATCGATAAATATGTTAAAAATATCATTAGCAAAATAAACTAGACTCAACGTGACATCATCTCAAATTAATATAAAATAGATAGCCGGCGATTAAAAACTTACTCGATAGCTATTCGAACATAAGTCAGATGTTGATAAAAGAATCGTATCCTGAAGTTATCCGTGATGGATTCCTTAAGCGATAATGTTGCATTGTTGAGCTCATCAATCCCTACGAATTAGCAATGGAGTTTAGGGAAAACAATGTATATAATTATTCGATGTCCTAATCAAATGAAATTTGAAGTTTTTGAATGAAATATAGTCTTTGTTTAAAGAATGTCTTAGCAAATGACTGTTTTCATAGGAGTGACTCAGTAATAGAACACTCGCCTAAAAGAAAGGAGACAAAGGTTGTAAAAGGCAATCTCTTGCAAACAAAGCAAACTCTTTGGAGGAATCTCCGTTTCAAAATTATTTTAGAAAATAAATTTTTTACAAGAGAGACTTTGTAGTAGAAGATTCATCTAAAAGAAAGGAGATAGAGATTATATATTGATGATCCATCATATATGAAGCAAACATTTATTTGTAAAAAAAATTACCATTTTCCGTGATGTAGATAATTGGATTATTGTATTTTCTCTTTACATACACGAGAAGATCCCTTATGCCTCTTGGATAAACATGGAGCCATACTGAACCAGCCTGAGACATCAATAAAGTACATTAGGCTGACTAAGAATATGGTCATTCTAAATTCTAAGATTGGTTGTCAAGAGATAATTATAAGAAAATTTTATATCTATTCATAGTATACCTGAGCACCAATAAGTTGTCCATCTCTCTCAACTGCCATAAGAAAATAATGTCTTTAGCATATAATTTGTTTTTTTTTTTTTAACTTTTGCACGTCACAGTAAATTTGGGGGGTTTAATGGTAGACTTACATGTAAGAATTGCATGACTATCTGTGCTGTAACTTAAGTTAACAGTATTTGGACTAGGGTTATTGGCTACATAAGTAGAAGTGTAGTAGTTCAAGCCAATAAAATCGCATGACCCCTTTAGCATTTTTGATTCTATTGTTGAGAACTTTGGCAGGCGTTTTCCAACAATTGATCGCATGTTACGTGGATAGTCACCACTTGTTAATGGTTCCAAATACCTACATTTCACATGTAATTAGAGTTAAACTAAGACAAACTCATTTTGTTATATATCTATACAAGTCTTATTCAATATATGTGTGTATAAAATTTCTATCGGTCCACAATGGCTAAGTTACAAATAGTAAATGATTTAGTTTTTGTATGTTTTTCGATGTTGTGTGACCCTTCAATTAGTGAAGCAACAAAAAATACTAACCATCCAAGTGCGAAGTCCAGTGACCGACGTGCAGCACGGTAGTCGGCTGTCGAATTAGAGTATGGCACGTACCAATAACTTGATAGTGTAACTCCAATATTACCTTTTTGCAATTTCTGCACAAATTCTATGTTCAATAATGGCAAGCATACTATCATCCTTAATAGTTATAGATCTGTTGGATTTTAAACCTGGTATTTCTCCCTATACAATTTCACGGCTAAAGCATGCGCAAGAAGTTGGTTGTGTTCACCAATATATGGTTCGGTGCTTGAGTCCCCACCTGTGCAATTTGGGTTTCTCCAAGGGGAACATCGACCTGGTGCAAAAGTACCATAATCGTACCCAAATTTGTTGAAGCTCGATGGTTCGTTGAATGTGATCCAATGTTTCACCCGATCGCCAAATCTCTTATAGCAAAGCTCCGCGTAATCGCGGAAATCATAGCTGTGATTGGAACATCAGTAATTATGGGAAAGATGAGATTTAGCTAATACTCTAACACATGATTTCATTATATAATAACTTCTTGGTGGATAGAAGTAAAGTCTCTCTGCCCTTGTGGAATTCATATAAGAGTTTAAATATGACTTTTCAAGTTTCAAGCACAAGTTTAACTACATAGATCTTTCAAATTTTGATAAATCTTGACTATCCGGTTTTACCCTACTATACTAACTTTTAAAGAAGACTTGCATCAATCGGATCCACTCTGGTACACATTCCCTTAATTACTCTAGATTGCTCTTTGCATATTTTATGAGGAATAAACTTATTTGTAATTGGCTTCACATAAATTTATTATTGTGGATTCACCATTGAAGATAAATTTAGAGAACATAGACATCTGGATCCATTTTTCACGCACCTTGCAAAAAGAAAATAAGTGTTATGTTAGTTGCCTTCCTTTTGATCTGTTTTGTGTTTTTTTTTTTAAATCATGATACATTTTCTTGTTTAAAAAATTGTTTAATTTGATAGCATTGAGTAAGTAATCAACAATGCACTGCGTAGGTAGGACCCGACAATATGAGGACTATGTGGAAGTCACTTACACAATCCGCCGACTTAGGAAACCACCATACTCATCTTCTAAGGCTTGGGGAGAATCAAAATGGAAGAGAGTCACAAAGGGCTGCAAGCCTAAATATATACCATAAGATACCCAAATTCAGACCACACTTCCCATGAAAACCAATGCCAAGATTTAAGTATCGGACAATAACCTTTGGATAGGAGNCCAAAATAAACTAGACTCAACGTGACATCATCTCAAATTAATATAAAATAGATAGCCGGCGATTAAGAACTTACTCGATAGCTGTTCGAACATAAGTCAGATGTTGATAAAAGAATCGTATCCTGAAGTTATCCGTGATGGATTCCTTAAGCGATAATGTTGCATTGTTGAGCTCATCAATCCCTACGAATTAGCAATGGAGTTTAGGGAAAACAATGTATATAATTATTCGATGTCCTAATCAAATGAAATTTGAAGTTTTTGAATGAAATATAGTCTTTGTTTAAAGAATGTCTTAGCAAATGACTGTTTTCATAGGAGTGACTCAGTAATAGAACACTCGCCTAAAAGAAAGGAGACAAAGGTTGTAAAAGGCAATCTCTTGCAAACAAAGCAAACTCTTTGGAGGAATCTCCGTTTCAAAATTATTTTAGAAAATAAATTTTTTACAAGAGAGACTTTGTAGTAGAAGATTCATCTAAAAGAAAGGAGATAGAGATTATATATTGATGATCCATCATATATGAAGCAAACATTTATTTGTAAAAAAAATTACCATTTTCCGTGATGTAGATAATTGGATTATTGTATTTTCTCTTTACATACACGAGAAGATCCCTTATGCCTCTTGGATAAACATGGAGCCATACTGAACCAGCCTGAGACATCAATAAAGTACATTAGGCTGACTAAGAATATGGTCATTCTAAATTCTAAGATTGGTTGTCAAGAGATAATTATAAGAAAATTTTATATCTATTCATAGTATACCTGAGCACCAATAAGTTGTCCATCTCTCTCAACTGCCATAAGAAAATAATGTCTTTAGCATATAATTTGTTTTTTTTTTTTTAACTTTTGCACGTCACAGTAAATTTGGGGGGTTTAATGGTAGACTTACATGTAAGAATTGCATGACTATCTGTGCTGTAACTTAAGTTAACAGTATTTGGACTAGGGTTATTGGCTACATAAGTAGAAGTGTAGTAGTTCAAGCCAATAAAATCGCATGACCCCTTTAGCATTTTTGATTCTATTGTTGAGAACTTTGGCAGGCGTTTTCCAACAATTGATCGCATGTTACGTGGATAGTCACCACTTGTTAATGGTTCCAAATACCTACATTTCACATGTAATTAGAGTTAAACTAAGACAAACTCATTTTGTTATATATCTATACAAGTCTTATTCAATATATGTGTGTATAAAATTTCTATCGGTCCACAATGGCTAAGTTACAAATAGTAAATGATTTAGTTTTTGTATGTTTTTCGATGTTGTGTGACCCTTCAATTAGTGAAGCAACAAAAAATACTAACCATCCAAGTGCGAAGTCCAGTGACCGACGTGCAGCACGGTAGTCGGCTGTCGAATTAGAGTATGGCACGTACCAATAACTTGATAGTGTAACTCCAATATTACCTTTTTGCAATTTCTGCACAAATTCTATGTTCAATAATGGCAAGCATACTATCATCCTTAATAGTTATAGATCTGTTGGATTTTAAACCTGGTATTTCTCCCTATACAATTTCACGGCTAAAGCATGCGCAAGAAGTTGGTTGTGTTCACCAATATATGGTTCGGTGCTTGAGTCCCCACCTGTGCAATTTGGGTTTCTCCAAGGGGAACATCGACCTGGTGCAAAAGTACCATAATCGTACCCAAATTTGTTGAAGCTCGATGGTTCGTTGAATGTGATCCAATGTTTCACCCGATCGCCAAATCTCTTATAGCAAAGCTCCGCGTAATCGCGGAAATCATAGCTGTGATTGGAACATCAGTAATTATGGGAAAGATGAGATTTAGCTAATACTCTAACACATGATTTCATTATATAATAACTTCTTGGTGGATAGAAGTAAAGTCTCTCTGCCCTTGTGGAATTCATATAAGAGTTTAAATATGACTTTTCAAGTTTCAAGCACAAGTTTAACTACATAGATCTTTCAAATTTTGATAAATCTTGACTATCCGGTTTTACCCTACTATACTAACTTTTAAAGAAGACTTGCATCAATCGGATCCACTCTGGTACACATTCCCTTAATTACTCTAGATTGCTCTTTGCATATTTTATGAGGAATAAACTTATTTGTAATTGGCTTCACATAAATTTATTATTGTGGATTCACCATTGAAGATAAATTTAGAGAACATAGACATCTGGATCCATTTTTCACGCACCTTGCAAAAAGAAAATAAGTGTTATGTTAGTTGCCTTCCTTTTGATCTGTTTTGTGTTTTTTTTTTTAAATCATGATACATTTTCTTGTTTAAAAAATTGTTTAATTTGATAGCATTGAGTAAGTAATCAACAATGCACTGCGTAGGTAGGACCCGACAATATGAGGACTATGTGGAAGTCACTTACACAATCCGCCGACTTAGGAAACCACCATACTCATCTTCTAAGGCTTGGGGAGAATCAAAATGGAAGAGAGTCACAAAGGGCTGCAAGCCTAAATATATACCATAAGATACCCAAATTCAGACCACACTTCCCATGAAAACCAATGCCAAGATTTAAGTATCGGACAATAACCTTTGGATAGGAGCTCATTTATAAGGTTGTTGTAGTACTTAATTCCTTCCTCATTCACACCTCTGCTTACTTTTCCACCTATCAAACATACAAGTAAAAGGAAAAGGGTATGCCCAAACCAAGGGCCCATAATATACAAATGCTTCCCAATTTCACTTAAATTCTGTACAAAGTTCTACCAAATTTTGAAACTTCAGTATTTCACTATTAGCGTTACCCCTTTTAAAATATTGGATTGCAAGTCTATGTAGTGGACAATCTTACGTGGTAAGACTCTCGCCCATGAAATAGAGAATCTGTATGCATCCATATTCATGTTCTTTATGAGGGCAACATCTTCCTACGATGTTATAGAGAACCACACCGTAAGAACCAATTCCTAAAAAGCAATAGATATAATCTCATAAAAGACATTCAGATTCAAATAGTTCAATATTGGTTCTACCTTGTATTTATGGTAGGAATCACATGCCACATCTCCGTTGCTACGATCGGCTATCTTCTCTGCAGTTTCACCATTGAGTTGTTTCAAAAAACTTCAAAATAAAATATTTGCTTGTACCATGGATATTGAACTCGGTTATTATTAGAAGTAGAATTTATTTATTTTCAACACCGAAACCTTGTTCGCTAGAGAAATGTTACACGCTGTAGAAGATATAATTATGATTATATATATATATATATATAGATATATATATATTGAACATTCGGACTGCTAGGTGCTACACATGCACTTGATTACACTTTTGTTTTAGCTGCGAAGAAAGACATTGTCCATTGACCGTTTATCAAACCATAATTATTTTGTCTCATCACATGACCACATATTCTCTCATCATTATTGTGAGTAAGTCAAAGCAAAAAAATATTGTGCTTAGATTTTCTCATTGTGCTCAGATTTCCTCATATTTTTGTCTCGAAATCTTGCATGGAAAACAGTTTGCTTCAAACAATGGGTAAAGGACATGGAAGGGTAGAATCCAAACNCAGATTTTCTCATTGTGCTCAGATTTCCTCATATTTTTGTCTCGAAATCTTGCCTGGAAAACAGTTTGCTTCAAACAATGGGTAAAGGACATGGAAGGGTAGAATCCAAACAAAATATCTGATAGTTGGCAGCGCCATCAAATATGAACCTTCTCAACAGAGATTTCAAATTTTATATTCTAAATAAATAGGAATGGTTTGATGAATGGTTCCATTAGAAATGACATAAGTGTAGCAATAGCAATATAGGGAGGTATACTTCCTGCAAACAAGAAAGCACAAAAAGAGATCCAAATTGCCTATAATATTTTTTCGTTAATTTTCTTCGAAAGTAGGTTAACTCTTATTAATTCACTATTTATTAGGTCCTGTGACCGTATTTGGGGTGATTTATCTTTGAGGGATCTTGGAAGCAGCAATTGGAATGAATATAGTTACAATGCAAATTGGAGAGAAGCTTCTTGCCAATGCAACAATGTTGGAGATTCAATCAAGGTAGTGAAGAGTACTTGCACCTTATCCACTGGTAATCATAGTAGAGGATGCAATAACAAAAGCAATGGAAAACAAAGGGAACTAAATCCTCATAGAAACCATAAATTAGAGAAGTTTTATCTGAAACGTTGAATTTCCATTATTTTAGGTATATGTACATATATAAATAGAGAGAGAGAGAGAGAGAGAGAGAGAGAGAGAGAGAGAGACCAGGATACTTGTGAGTGAAAGTATCCCATATACTTGGCCCTTTACCATCTGCATTCCATCCACCTTCAATCTGAAAAGGAAGAAACCAATAAGACAAGTAAACAAGCACATCAACTTGGAGGACACTGTATGTTCAACAGATCATTAAAACTCATGGCAAACCTGATAAGCAGATGAAGCTGTCCCAAAAACAAAGCCCTTCGGAAAACTCGTACGATTGAGCGTAGCAATGCCATAACTAGGTGTTAAAGGTTTAGCACTAGGGTCTACAGAAACCCTAGCATAAGTCCTAGCAGGATGAGCCTCACTACTGCTGAGTGAGGAAGTGAGGACTATAAGGCCAAGGAAGAGAAAATAGCCTTGAAACCCCATTACTTCACTGATTTGTCAGATACAAACTCGAACTCTCTTTCATGGCTTTATATAGAGCAATACAAGCCGATATGTTTTGGGTGAACACATTTTTTCCCCTATTTTTAGTCCTTTAACACCTAAAATGACTCTATAAAATATTTTTTCATGTAATAAAACAACTTGTTGATAAACGTTATACTAATAAAATAATACCTATTTGTTTTTTTATTGTTACCTATGTCCCAATAAAATAATCAAAGAATTTTAAAAGAAAAATTTTGATAATATTTTCGGAAGAATTCTTCGTAGTCTGTGATAAGATTTACTAATTTAATTTTTGCAGTTAGTGCGAAGTGCAACCGTGTGTTATGCAGCCCATGAAGAGCAATTGGCGTGTAATTAATATAATAAAAAAAGAGATCCGATTGATGGATTATTGATTTAATCATTAGGTCATTGATCAGATTGATTAATATAATAAAAAAATAATTAATAATAATATTTATAAGGCTAAAAATTATAATACTTATGAAATAACATGCTTAATGCTCCAACGATTCTTTTTTTTGTTATTGAAATATAAAATTACTAATGTATGGTAAAATGAATGACATTGTTTTATTATCAATTAGTGTTTGATTTGATTGAATTCCCATTACTTCACTGATTTGTGAGATACAAACTCGAGCTCTTTTTTTATGGCTTTATATAGAGCAACCAAAGGGCTCGAGATTTATATTTTGTCACTAGTTTTTCGCCCCACAGAATGCACATCAAGATTTATGAGAATATAACCTATGAACGTGAATGGACATGCAAAGAGAAAATTTAAGATCGATAGTCGAGGAGGTGACTTGAAGTGCTTAAAGCATCTTCAACTCACTCTCTATTTCCTCTCTTTTAACTATTTTAGTTAGTCAAACACAAAAAACACTCTCTAACTCATTCTCTATTTTTCATTTCACTCAAATGGCTCTCCAAATGTGGAGAGTCATTTAATCTCTCTAAATTCTCTCTCTATCTTTTTTTCTTTCTAT